GGTAGGGACTATTTTCTTAACGCGCAATGTTCAAGTTACTTCTTATAGTGAGGCGACTGTATTCACGTGTCAAATAGTGGGGATACATGGTAGGTAGCAACAGCTGAACTAGAGAGAAACTACTTACTTTATTTGGACAAGAGATCTATTCTTCACCGGTTTGGTTTCTATTCTTTACAATTTTTGAAAAGTACAGGGGTCCACAGTTATTTGGTAGAAATGGAGTGACTAGTTGTCCATACTTGCCACTAGGGACAATTTTAAGCATCGGCTGAAGCGGTTCCATTGTTCTACTTAAGTCTCTGTAATGGAATGAAATAAGTCAAAAAACAATAGAGACAGAGCTTTGATTTTGGTTGTATCTTAGCAATGAATCATACTTACTTTATTGTAAACTTTGTCTTAGACTCAGTCCATTGCTTCTCCAATGCTCTTTGTACAACAGCATCATTTTGAATGGGCGACAGTGTTTCAGTGCAGTAAACTACTGTTCCACCCTCCTTTACTAGATCCATGGCCTTGCTATGTGCATACGTAAATTACAAATGATAAGGGATTAGCACTGAATGAATTCCTATTTGCCATTTTCAGAAAATACAAACCTAAGAAAAGCTGTCTGCAATTCTGGTAATCTTAATCTTTCTTGAATCAGAGAAGGACTAAACATATTCCCTTCATTCTTATTTACTGCTTCACGATCAAAAGTACTAGGAACAGTTACAATCACCTAGAAAATGTGTAATAACTTAGAACCACTCACTTTACCACTCATTAGGCTGATTATTTAGAGCTTCAACTAATACCTTGTCATAAAGTCCCGCATCTTCTATGGCAAGAGGATGATCATCAGTCAAGACAAAATTACAGGTGTCTGAACTGGTCTCATAAAAAAATGAGTCAAAGTATTTTAAAAAATATCCAAACCTTCTTGTCTTTCCACAATTTATGACAAACAAACCTGTTTGAAAATTTTGTTTAATTTCAAGACAAGATACGATTAAGCTGAGGTATTGCAGAAGTTACCAATTATACTTTACTCACCAGGAATTAGAGTTTGACATATAAGCATTGGGATATCTAGTGATGATGCAGTCAGGTCTAATACTGTTTCACCTTCCTTTAATCCAAGGGCCAAAACTGGGGCAAGGGTCCCTAATTTCAGGATGTGATAGTCTAGAGAATCAAAGGACAAATAATAAATAGAGAGATCATGATGTCATTTTCATAAATTTCATTTTGTTTAGTTTATGAAACACACCATACACTTCAGTTGTTCCTCTTGTTGAATAATTGAAGGTATCACAGTTACCACGCTCATAGGCATAAACATCAAGATGCTGGGGAAATGAAAGCTCTGTATCTAATTCAAAATCAATCGGGGCCTCCACAACATCCTTATAATATTTATAGTGTGAAGACTCTGGGATAAAATCATCCATCCCTTTAAGTTTTGTTGCAGGTACATAATCATATAGTGAAGCTGACAAAGCAATGCCAGTTGGTCCAGGAAAAATCAAACGACTTGAATCATAATCAGCATTTTTTAAGGATTCTGAAAGTGGCTGGTCTTTAGTAGGATCATCAGGTAAGCTGCGTAAAAAGTTAGATGATGAAAGAACACTGTTAGACAACTCCTCAACCACACCTAAACACTTCACGTTTTTGTTTCATGCACTACCTTTCATCATCTGACTCATCTGAAACCTTTTCTCCATGCTTCGCAACCAAATTTTGAGAAATTTTTTCAACAACTTCACTGTCAAGAGGTTCTGGATAGATATCTGCCATATCATTTTGCTGTTGTCTAATGAAAGTTTCTCCAATTCCTCCTTCTATTTGATAAATATTCTTCGAACTTGTACTAGAGGGATCAGATGAATCTATTTTTATTTTTAATGCCTTTGATTGGTCCTCATATATTTTCCGTATGTTATATGCCCCCATATTCTGCAACAGCAAAATTTAGATATTGAACACAAAAGTAAAACCTAAAATTTAAAGTGTTCATTGATATGAGTGATATTACCTGTAACTGCTTACGTATTCTTTCCTTGTCACTAAAGTTATTAATTACAACACCTTTCTTTTCGGCACACAATAAAGCAACTCGTATGGATGGCCACTGATCTTGAAACAGACTTGGGTAGAAATCGTCAAACTGTGTCAACGCTTTCACACGATTGCTTAATTTTTCTAGTTGCATTTCCTGAGGGAGAAAGTGCACAAGACAGATTAAGTAAATGCTGAAAAGTAAATAAAAACAAACCATGATTTGGTGGCGTGAAATACGTAGGTTATGAAGTAAATACCTTGTATTTTTTATTGTTCCATCTCTTTGGAATAAAAAGCAAACTCTGCGAAGTTGTTTTGAATGAGTGTGATAAAACTGTTTGGCGTAACATTTTCAAACAATCAATTACAGTTGGGTTTTCAATAAAATAAGAAAGGTAGGAACATCACATTTAAAAGTGCTCCCCCACCCTTCCCCCCGTTCCCCCACCACTGCGTTTGAGTGTGCATAACCGGAGTGTCGTTATTCACAGACTAAGTCGTCTGTTCTGTATACTGCGTTCGGGTATTTGTTTACATGCGACAGAGAGGACTGAACACCGACATTAGAAATGGATGAGAAAGCTGAATTTGAGGTGTTTGAACTTAAAGACGCTAAATCGGTCCCAGATATTATACACCCATACTCTTCGGAAGTCAAAAATGGTCAAGTCCCCATTGTCATTGATAACGGTATGTGAATGATGCTCAGAAGGGTTATGTATTTACTATGATATCATGTCATCTTCAAAGGGAGCCGAATCATTTAAAGATTTTTATTTAGAATAATTCTTTTTCAGGTTCGTACAATTGTCGTGTTGGTTGGGCTACACAATCCAAACCTAATCTGGTATTCAAAAATCTAGTTGCGAAGACCAGAAAAGAACGTGGAAAGAAGGTAAGAATATTGCAAAGAAAAATGCGCTCATAATTATCCACAACCTGAGTTCCAGTACATTAAAAGAGATCTGTTTTCAGGATGGTGAACTGCAGGTTGGTAATGACATAACTAATCTTGAAGCAGTTCGTTTCCAACTAAAGACACAGTTTGATCGAAATGTGGCTATACACATGGAAGTTCAGGAACAGATCTTTGATCATGTGTTCTCACATTTAGGAATTGACTCTGATGGAAGTGTGAACCATCCTGTTATGCTTTCAGAAGCCTTCCTGAATCCTAACTTCTCCAGGCAGTGTGAGTGCTACTAAAAATTCAGAAGTGTTGTTTGGTTTATAAGCGAATAATACTGACAATTTTTTGTCATCATTACAGCAATGTCAGAACTATTATTTGAATGCTATGGTGTACCTGGTGTTTGCTATGGAGTTGATGCCCTGTGTAGCTATTATGCCAAAGAAGAAGGGAACCTAGAACGAAGTCAATCTGGCTTAATTATAAACCTAGGACACCATACTATGCACATCATACCTCTTATTGACGGAGCTGTTGATGTAACCCATGCTCGCCGCATTAACATTGGAGGTTTTCATGTTACATCATATATGCACCGTCTTCTTCAACTGAAATATCCTGTCCATTTCAATGCCATAACATTAAGTAGAGCAGAGGTGAGTCTAGGCGCAAGGCACACCCTTCCATTATTTCTTGTTCCATAAGTGGAATATGAAACTAGCTTAATTCAATTTTGATATTTTTAGGAGCTGGTACATAACTATAGTTTTGTCCCTGAGGAATATGGAGTGGTTCTCAACCATTGGGCAGATCAGGATTATTATGATAAGCATGTTTTACGTATTCAACTTCCTTATGTTGCCCCTCCAGCTGTATCTTCACTGACAGCTGACCAGCAGAAAGAACGCCGCAAAGAACTAGCAAAGCGTTTAGTTGAAATAAATGCACGCAAAAGAGATGAAAGGGTAATAAATCATTCTGTATAGAACTATATGTTGACAAATGTATGACAGTTCTAGAACACAATTGATAAAAATTTTAATTTAAAATTTGTAGCTGGCTGAGGATGAGGACATGTTAAGCCAACTTTTGGAGGTTCAAAGCCTTATTAACTCAGGACAGGAGAAAGCTTTTCAGGTTTGTGTTTTATATGATTGTAGTCGTTGAGATTTGATTTTCTTCCTCATTTATTACGTAGGAATGTCATCTTTTCACCTTTAGAAAGCACTATCATCTTTTGACATGGGAAGTGAAGCTGAACTTGTAAAGCAGATTGGAAATCTGCAGGCAAGGATACAGAGAACAAAACAAAAAATAGCTGCCGCAAATTCTACAGAGGATGTGGTGGTGTCAGAGGTATGAATTTTTTTAGCTAAATTTGTCCAGAAAAGTTTCTTTCAAAATTAGTGTGCTTGCATTGTAATGAGATCTGTCATTTACTTCACAAGGAACCAAAGCCTAAAATTCCCAAGCAAACAGCTTTGAGATTGAGAGATGGTGAAGATGCTGAATCATGGCTTGCAAGATTAAGGAAAGACAGGTTTGTAAACCTGTCTGTTAGTACGTTCAATGTCGGGGGTTGTTTAGTGGTTTGAAAACCTAGCAGGTTGGCTACATTCTAAGCATGCCAAACTGTACAGTTAACTATTAAACATATTTTACTTGCAGAGCTGAATTGTTTGAGAAAAAAGCAGCACGTCTGCAAAAGCGTCAAGATATGTCTAAGAGACGAACTGCTGCAGCCCAAGAAAGAATGCGCATTATTAGTGAGCTTGCAAAGAGGGACAAAAAGGAGGACAACTTTGGAATGCGAGATGAAGACTGGGATGTGTATAAAGCCATTCGAAGGGTTAGTAACCACTAAATTCTATTTCTTGTTCTTGCTGTTGACAAGTTTTCACTACTGTGTAATATCTGTTCCTTCACTAGGATGGGGGTGACTCAGACAGTGAAGAGGAACAAGAGAGGCTAGTGGAAATCGAAGAAGTCCTTAGGCAAAATGATCCTACTTTTGTTGAAGGGGTTGTAGAATTCATTCCAACAAACCCAGGAGAAGCACATCAGTTACATGTTGGAGTAGAAAAGTTAAGGGCTACAGAAATACTTTTTCAGCCAGGAATGGTGGGAATTGAGGAGGCAGGGCTGACTGAAACTCTAGCATATGTCTTAAAACAGTATTCTCCTGAAAAACAGGTGATTTTCTCAAATGCATTTTACCTTGGTACTGTATGTAATTTAGGTATAATCTTTCCTTGTTATTTTTATTTGCAGAATAAACTTGTTTCAAATATATTTTTGACTGGTGGCTGTTCAGCAATCCCGGGTTTGAAGGAACGCTTAGTAAGAGAAGTGAGAGAAATTCGCCCTTTTCAGTCTGAGTTTCAAGTCAACATATCAAAAAACCCTTCTTTATCAGCATGGAATGGGGCACGTGAATTTGCTAATATGCCTAGTTTTAGCAAAGACTGCACAATTAGCAGGCATGACTATACTGAAAAGGGGGGTGAGTACCTGAAGGAGCACAAGACTTCTAACATTTTTAATGCATCGCCGGCTCCACTTTGTCAACCTCTAGTAGGAGCAACAGAAGATGTAGAGATGGAAATTTTTTGATTGGATAATTAAAATATGATGTAACATGTACATTTGGTTTATTAATTATATCAATTCATGGGTTGAAATACAGTCTTAATGAGGTAAAATTGAAGAAGCAATTTTGTGAGCAGTTCTTACAAAATTTAATCCTGTGTAGGACTCTGTAAACAACAGTTTTCCCTCTTTGTTATCTTAAAAAAATATACATTCCTGTAAGCTCAAGTCCTGCTTGAGTACAAATGTACTTAGGGTTTAATTTATCATGGCCATTTCAAGCAGCCTGCTGCCTTGATCCAAATGTCATGGTAACATATAAAATAACAGTGTAAAATAACTGTTAGATTAAAAAAAAAACAAGAAAAAAACACTTTCTCTACAGTTTGACAGCCAGAACAACGTTGAGAGAAATTCTCAGTATCTTTACTACAGGGAAATTAGAAAAAGTCATCAATTTACCATGCACTACTAAACAAATAAAAAACATGTGAAAGTATTAATAATTTTGAACAGTCTGTCACTTGCTGCTAGAACAGTTTGTATCTACGGTATTACCTACGTATATCATTTACTTCTACTAGGCCGACTGTCACAGAAGTTAACTTGTATTGTTTCCTTTGGCAAATCCTACATTGGATATCACAATATTTAACAACAAATATTAATTGGTCCACCAAAAAACATGATGTTTTAAACTAGGTTTTACAAGTTCCTTAATTTCACCAGAGGAGCAAAATTAACTGTTGCTGCCTTGGTTAGTCCCACACTTTACGGCTTGCTTGCTTTTGAGAGTTTCTCTCTTTGGCGTATCCAGAGCCTAAAAGGAAGAGATCAGCTTGAACTTAATAAATTAAATCACATTCTTACAAATAAAACAACTAAATTGGATAAATTGTAATTTAAAATAAACACTCTAAGCATTGGAAGACAAACTTGCAAAAAATTTTTGTTTGAATAGAGGTAGGAAGCAAGACTAGAACTTAATGGGCTTTATATAATGTACTTTGTTCTTATATATTGTAGGTAAGAGAGCACTAAGAAAAATGTGTGTGACTCCAGCTGTCAGACCCCACACTTTATATTTTCCTCCCAGGAACACAGGTATTACATACCCCTTCCCAGTACGAAACTGGGTGTATCTGAAATTGTTCTCATCACATAAGTATCGGAGTGGAATAGTAAAGACATCCCCTACTTCTTTCGGGTTATATTCTAACCGATTGACATCCACAGAACCCAGGTACCCTATAATAGGTTGACAAGTGACACGGTTTGCTGACTCCATGGGAGGACAGCGTCCCCAGATCTCGACCTGGTCTCTGGAAATGCCCAGCTCTTCTTCCGTCTCCCTCAGCGCAGTGGCTTCATGGTCTGCGTCTTCGTCATCTTTCATGCCACCAGGGTAGGACACCTGGCCACGGTGAGAGCTCATGTGAGGCGACCTCAGCGTATAGAGGAGACACACCTCGTCGCCGACCAGGCACAAAGACACCAAGATTGCAGCCTCCTTGGGCTTGGCGGCCCCTGGTGGGGGCGCCGACGGCGGCCTCAGACTTGACATTCTGCTCAAACGACGGAGGCAGGCCTCTCGACTGGCGGCGCTGAGGACGTTTCCAGGGGAGAGGGCATCCTCGACAGCGTTTTGCTGGCTGCCAGCGTTGCTCCCAGCCGTGCTGAAGTCCACAGCTGACGGCAACCTAACCTGTTGTTTTGGGACGATGACACCGCCGAGCGGGCCGCAGTGCGCTGTTCGCAGCGCGGAGCGCATGAAGGAGTGTGGCAGCATGGCCGAGCCGAGCGCAGTCGAGGTGCAGGTCTCTCAGTTGGAAGAGGCTGGTCCTTCCCTTAACATAATTGGGGTGAAAGTTAAAGAAGGTGACGGTGTCGGCGAGCGAGAGAGAGAGAGCGGACTTGCTGCTGAGACCGGAAGAGCGGAGCAGACGATACCCCACTTGCAGACGATATGTCCACGTTGAAACTGCACATGACTTATCTAGAAGGCGCTACGGCGCGACTGCCCCGCGGGCGCGGATTTGAACGCTGCCGCCAAACGTCTTTCGCGCTCCCGCGCGCCATCGAAGTTTAAGCCCCGAGTTAAAGCACAAACACATACACGCGCATTCCTGCGACGTTTGATGGAACGATGTTTTCATTTATCCGCCTACTTTCTTAACCCCAACAGGTTAAAAGTCACCACCCGCCGATGTAACTGCCATGGTCCATGCTTCCTGAACGAAATTTTCGTCGGAACTTCTTCATTCGATCTGGGGGGCGAACGGCGTTGTAAAACTGCTGAAACCATCAACTTGCACATTTCTTGCCGTCGCTGCCCAGCAGCCCTCCGTTCGAATGGCGTCGGTCTCCGTGGCCGTGGAGCAGGCGCGGGCGGGAGGGGGAGGTGGAGTCTAGCAGGTCACCCCTGCGGATCAATGCAACCCCTCCCCCTGACGCGGCGTGGTGAGGGGTGGCGCGGCGGGGTGGGGCGGGGCGCGGCGGGGCCCTTGTCTCGGCGGCCCCCGAGCCCCCCACAACCAGTGGTCTCGCTGGCTCGGGCTGGGACGGACGGGACAGGGGCCCCACGCGACGCGACGCCGCAAGGACGCTGTTCGCCCCGCCCTAGTGTCAGCAGCACGCCGCGCAGCTGTCAGACGCGCCGCCCTGCCTGCTAAAGGCGTCTGCTCAGCTCTGCTCAGCTGCCCCGGAGCTGTGATACTCGCCAGCATGGTGAGGACCTACTCGGCACGCTCCACACGCTACCCCCTCCTCACCCCCTCAATCTGAAATGTCCTCCAGAATTGTCGTCGCCTACCGCGGCGCGCGCGAGGGGCATGGGGCATGGGGTGGCATGACGCCTTCCCCCCTCCCCCCCTCCTCTTTCAACGCGAAAACTGACGAGCTGAGGTCTTTATTGGCGGAGAATGGTGGATGTAATAACTTGACTTAATCGGCGGGCTTTGCGAGAGAAGTTGTAAACGACATACAGCCATGCAACTGGACCCTAAGCCTCTCCTGGCGGAAACACAATGCAGGGAATATTCGCTCTGATTATCCGAGTGAAGTGATTGTTATTGTGTCGGACAGATGAAAGAAGGGGGCGTTTCCAGAGTTGGCGTATATGACTTGGCCGAAAAACACAACACATCAACCTGTTGGAGAGGCTGTATTATTGTTTTGACCTGCCTTATTCCTACCGTACTGGCTCTAGACAATTTGTTCCTAGCGTTGGTGCCTATTATGTTCATCATGTTTACATCGGGTTCAGTGTGTCGGTGGGTCTTTTACAATGTATGGCCCAGAACCTCACGCGAAGCCCCTTTGAGAGGACTACCTGCATATTCGTTGGTGTTAGTGTAGGACTGAAAGCATCAAGCCTGAGGGAACACACCGCAGAATACGCTGTAAAATTGTTTTCATGCGCTGCTCATAACTTTCGCACAACAATAGTAAAAACAGACTACCAAAACTTTACCTATTTTTGTTACCTATTGTAATGTTTTGTAACTCTTAGAAAAGAAAAAAGACGTGATGGACATTTTTCACAGCCCAGAAAAAGAAGACATGTTGAATGAGATTTTACAAGCGCCTCCCCCTTCGATTATTTCCTTCTTCACAATTTCTTTTTATGGTGGGAACCTGTGGCAACTCAGGGAATGGCGCGCGATCCAATGAATGAAGGCCGAAATGTATGCAAACGGCCCTGGAAGAGACACGTGGCGATTGGACATATCTGGCAGTGATGGGATTGGGGTGATGAGACTGGATGCGTGGGGAAGGGAAAGGGAGAAAAAAAGGGGAGAAGGGGTGCAGTTGGGTGCTAGGTAACCACG